TGACACCATCCGAAAATTCGACCCAAACCCTACCTGAAAATTCCAATTTAGGGACAATCCTTTTGGGAAACAAGCCAGGTTCAGGTCAACATGAAAACCCGACATCAACCCGGAACAGACTCGGTTCTCATACCGCACAGCACCGTAAGTCCGGGAGTCTACGACCCCTCCAGCAACCCCACCCCACGCTAGCCCCGTGGCCCGCGCTCTCCCTCGCCTGATACATAGTAGATACGCAACATATACATAATATAGGGGCGAATTCATATACTCACTGTTTTGTTCATCGATGAAATGAACTATTTTTGTACATAGATTTTTAGCTATTCTTTAATCAATTTATTCTGTAAAATAGAATTTGTACAATATATAAAATAACAAATCATGTAAAATTTAAAAAAAAAAATTATTTATTGATGATGATTCAAGAAAATTTTTAAGAAAGTTGCTAGTAGCAGTTTCTTACTTCAAATAGTTTAGCTATGAAGCTTTTACTTCTTATCTTAAAAATGAATTGGTCTTCTCTTGAGAAAATTCACGTATGCTTCAACAAAGAAAGATTTGATAGTGGAAGCAGAAGAATACGTGCTTGTATAGAACGGGTGGTTGATAGTTCAATAGAGTAAAAGAAGATTGCAAATGAGATTTTCAGATGTTGCATCCATGAATGGTCAAAAGATGAGGACCATGCCCTTCGGAATTTGTATGCTAAGTGATGAGGGTTTTTTTTTTTTTTTTTGAGAAAAAATGCAACTTATGCATTTATATTATTAAAAATAAGGAAAAGAAAAAAATACTATCCAATGCCATCAAATTCCTCCTTTAATATAGAAATAAAAAGGGGAGGAACCTTATGAAGCACTAAATCGTCCCAAATGAAAGAGCTTATGATTGCATAATTAGCACAAAGATCCGCTAATTTATTGCAATTCCTTTCAATACAATTGAATACTACATTATGAAAATCTTTAAAAGGTCATTCCAAATCATGTTTACCTTTGTAGAAGACCGATTGAAAAAGATTGATGATGTTGGAATTATCACTTTCAATAATCATCCCTTTGTAGTTATGCATCCAATCTTTGAGAACTCCTTTGATAGCATGAATAGCTTGAAGTTCAAGACTTGAAATATCCCAGTGTACACATGATTGACCAAAACAGGAACCGGCCTTTGCAATCCCGGAATACACCTCCAATTCCTCCCTTGTATGAGTTTAATAAGGACGCATATACATTAACCTTTATCCAATCGAGTGGAGGGGGATGCCAATGTATATCCAACAGCAAATGTTGTTGTAGCAACCCATTTACTCGATTTAAAGCCAGAAAAGTTTGTTGAATAAGAGACTAAACTGAATGCTTCAGAAGCGATGAAAATGGAAGATTGATCCTTTCCTTCATGAACCAATTTGTTCTTACCTTTCCAAGAAAAGTAAATAACATTGCAAAATAAATTGGTAGTCCAAAAGTTCTGGAGAGATAACCAAACCAAGTAATCCTCCAATGAATTGAAAACGGGAAATTTAAAGCCCCATTTTTCCAGATTTTGAAAAATACTTTCAAGCTTTTTACATTTGATTACCACATGTTCAACATCTTCTTGCATATTGCAATTCCTTGGACAACAATTGTGCATTTGTAATCTTATATAACAAAGAAAATCGGAGGTTGGAATTGCATTATGGAATAATCTCCACCAAAATCCTTCAACCCGAGGAAGTAACTTGGCTCTCTTTATCCATTCCCAATAAGCTACTTGGCTTCGGTTTTCGAGGGATGCTTCTATAAGACGAGAAATTTTCTAAATGTTGTTGGCTAAAAATATCTTCAAAATTAGGACACGGGTCAGGTTCGGGTTCATGTCCAACCCGAAATTGACCCGGCACTATTCGGGTCAACCCGAACTCAACCCGTTTTTGCAAACGGGTCGATTTTTCGGACCCGAACCCGACCTGCATAGTTCGCTCGCTGTGAAGGTTTCTCCCTTTGATGCACTTCTTCGTTGTCGTTCGACTTCGCTCCTTGGAGGCTTGGACGATGTTCCCTTCCAGTCATATGGGAAGTTACAACATTTTGATCGGAAGCAAAGGCGGGAGTTCACTCGCTGTGAAGGTTTCTCCCTTTTGTGCACTTCTTCGTTATTGTTCGGCTTCGCTTCTTGGTCAACCTTCCCTTCCAGTCGGATCGAAAGTTACAACATTTTGATCGGAAGCAACGGTTTGTAAAGGTTTTTGCTTCTCCCTTTCCTACGCTACTTCGTAGCCATTCGACTTCGCTCCTTGGACGACATTCCCTTCCAGCGGATCGAAAGTTACAACATTTTGATCGGAAGCAACGGCGGAACTGCGGGAGTTTGCTCGCTGTAAAGTTTTCTGTTTTTGGTTTCTCCCTTTCCTACACTACTTCGTAGTCATTCGACTTTGCTCCTAGGACAACGTTCCCTTCCTGTCGGATTGGAAGTTACAACATTTTGATTGAAAGCAATGGTGGGAGTTCGCTGGTTGTGAAGGTTTCTCCCTTTCATGCGCTTCTTCGTAGTCTTTCGACTTCGCTCCTTCGGAAACAACGATAGGAGTTCGCTCGCTCGTTGGATTTCGGGTCAAAATTGGGTTTCCGGGACAACCCGAACTCGATCCAAAAATTGAAACAAGTTGAAAATTAGGACTGAAACCCGACCCGTTTTGGATTCGGGTTGACCCGAACACAAAATTTTCGTGTCGGGTTCGAGTCGGGTTTTCGGGTCGTGTCAATTTTTGACACCCCTAATATATTTGTTGCTCTGAAACAATGATATTCATCATCATCCTCGTGTACTCAGATGATGGCTAACTGCAGGGTGTGCTGGTTATGAATTTCTTGGTGAAGCATTTGAGCAAGTTTGAGAAATTAAACTTTTTTGAAGATGAAAACATTTGTGTTGTGTTTTCCTTCACGAGAAATTTCCCTGTTAAAAAAAATTAGTTTAAAAAAAGTTTTCTCATTGACCAGCATGTATTGTTCAGTCTCCTCATTACCCTACACTCATGTGCTAATTTGGTATGCAAACCTGTTGAGATAATTTTTTAATAGGAATTCACTACTAACTTTAGAATTATTCTTTAAAGATTTTATGAATATGCGGCCTAAATATATATATTTCGAGCTCTTGCTAACTATCACAGCAGTGTGTACTTCTCAGGAATTTTCACAATACCCATCTTCCTCAAAACTCTGATGCAATGTGAACACAACAAACCCATCATCTCAAACTTTCTGCAACTGCATTGAATGCTTCTCTTGTACATCAAAATCAACAATCCAAGGATTAGACTGCTCTTTATTTTTTGTGCAACAAACAAAAAATTTTAAAGAATCACATGATATGGACTTTATAATTATTCCACCCACACCTTGTAGAATTTCTTCTTCAAAAAATAAATATAATTTCGTTGAATAAAATTGAGCAGCTTGCTTTAATATTTGGTTGTTTTTTATTACAAGTGTTATTTCAGACTAATTGCATTTGTAATTCTCATCTTGTTCATTATAGCGTCAAGTCATCATCACCTTTATCTAAAACAAGAAAACAATCAGTTATAGAACTTATGGCCTTTGAAATGCCATGACACATATTATTAGTAGACTTGCTAAACTGTGTGGATAGAATGTCCATACTAAAATATTCCTTATAGAATATTATTGACCACTTATTGCTCATCTTATAAAGAACCTCCAACCAACCATGATCATTAAGGTTCTCTTATGTGATCATTATAACCTAGGTTTTCTCAAACTCCTTTTTAGAATCACACTTGCTCAAACAGTTATAAAAGAGACCTCTGACTTTATTGTTGCTATTGAAGCACCAAAATTTTGATGGAACCTTTTTACAGATATACCATTGGCATAGTCTATGGCAGTGTGAGATAATGCAGCTTCTATGGCCCTAACCATTGTTTGGTCTTGATCAGTAAATATTATTTTTAGATGTTTATCACTCATTATTCGTATAAAAGTTATAAACAACCACGTAAATGATGCAATTATCTCCTCTGATTTTGCCAATAATTATTAACCCCGACAAATGGGGCGCAGACTAAATTATATTTATTAAGCTTATAACAAGTGTAAAAAATTATCACATATCCAAAGCAGTCAAAATTTATCCAACCCATCTCATCAACCCAAAAAAATTTAACAATCCATCAAATTCATCAATTTGAACATCTGATGCGAACATATTGTCATCAACTTGATGATATTTAAATAATTGAATCAAAGTATTAGTATCCCCAAATTCAATCTTAGCTTTATTTATCTCCTCTATTCATAATGATAATGGTTGTTATCAAAAAGAACATTAGAAGAAATCACTTGCAGCGAGGACCAAAGAAAATATAAAAATAATGTCATATTAATTTATAGGAAATCAAACCAATGCTTTAGCTGAGGAGACAATGTCTTCCTTCCTTTTTTTCTCTTTTTTTACTCTCTTTAAAATTTTCCATGAAGTTGCATGTCTGGACAGCTCAAACTAGAGTTATGCATTTCAGTAATGATAGATCTCAGACGCGCTGATGGTAGCACTGAGGAAAGATCAAAGAGTAAGTAAATTGAGTCAACAAGCTGAACTTGATTATATCAAAAACAAGGAAGCATGATTGTCCTCCACTGTTCATTTGTTTACCAAAAACTAAGTGCATTTTCACTGTTCATTTGTTTATCCGGAATACACTTTCTTCTGCAAGCTTTTTCCCTTTTTTTCCTTCTTAACATACTCAGCTTTGAACTTTCAAACAAATAAGGAGAATATCATGAAAAACCTCATATTTTTTATGCACAAGTCACAAATAAAATAGACTGGATCAAAACTTTTCATGTTAAAAAAGAAACAGACAGTCATTGACTAATCAGGCAACTCAGACACAAATAAATCGCGAAAAAAAGACATATTAACTTCGACGATCAGCATTAACTATCAATCAAAGAGATCAAAGTTCCAGGAAAAATAATAGATACCTTTTCCAACATCCACTGGCATAACCGACCTCGCCTCCCTCGTGATAGCCTTTCTCAGGCAAAGCATTGATGACTGTTATAGGCCCCCCCGTGGCGGTCGAATCTGCCATCATCGTCGCGATAGCTCTCAACCTGCGGTAACTCTGAACCCAGTTTACTCGAAGCCTCGCATTCAGATCTCGCCAGCAAAACGCAATCTCCCACTTTCTTCTTGAAGATGAGCACCCCTTAAGATTCGTTGCTCGACCAATAAAACTTCTCAAGCTAGCAATGCATACCATCTAAAAAGAGCAGTGGGTGCTAGCCTAGAACCAAGGATATCTATCTTTAAGTCCGTACAAAAAGGACGAAGCCAGAGAAGAATTCACACTTCTTCGTCTCTGAACGCCGATGCCTGCGAAGCTCTATGCAGCATCGGATTCAAAAATGGCATCTTCACGGCACGGCGATTGCCCAAACTTCAAAGAAATACTTTACACAATTTGGGAAGTAGGTACTTTTCGCCCGAGAAGATGATATAGGCGCCCGATGCAACACCAAAGGTCTCGCATTTCGAACCACTTCCGGATCCGGAAGGGCTTCTTGAACAGAAAGAGAAAATGGAGATGGCGGATTCGTGAGCAAATCAAGATCGCAGAAGAGCGTGAGGAATACAGGGCCCTCGATTGTGTCGAGGGCTGTCGAATTTTGTCAGAAATAAGAGATGAAAGGAGAAGAAAGGATGAAGATATTACAAAAACTGACTTGTGTTTAACCTTTAAGGTCCTATAAGCCAGCACCACGAGGCAGTACCTTAGAACAGGCCAGCGGTTCGTGGAACTGAACAGCCTTTGGGATTACAGAGCGGACGATAAATACTTTAGGTGAAATTATTCTATGAGGGTAGGAACAGTGGCGGATCTACAGTGGGGGTCATGGGGGCACGGGCCCCCACTGACAAAATGAACAAAATATTCCAATACTCAGCAAGAATCGAAAGAACCAGTGGCCGATCAACTAAAGTATTGTCCCGTTTCAGCTTTCAATATGATAAAACATAAATTTAGTTTTATCTAACATAACATTTTGAAATACAGGCGGTGTGGGACTAAAGATTTTTTAAAATAAAATTTTTAGATGCCGCGGCCAATTCACCACTCTCTTTATTTAATCTTGGGCCAGTTCTATAGGGCTTAACATCCCTAACAAACTTTCAAGTGGTATCAGAGCACTTTCTAGTGTCATCTGAGCACTTTCAAGTGGTATCAGAGCTGGATTCATAAAATTAAGTTTTAAAACTTTTTGAATTTTGATCCATGGCTAATTTTTCAAATCATACTGTTACGAAAGGTTATTCAATCATGAGACAACCTTTATTTGAAAATATTCCTTTTAATTTTTAAAAAATTCGCATGACTACTTTCTTATAATTGATTAATTTTCACATGTGACATATGATTTTAACTGGTTATTCATCACCATCACGTATTGTTAATGGAGTTAAAATTGATATTCATTTTAATTAATGGAATAGGGAAGAACATGTAAATGCTTAATTGAATGCAAAATCTTTAAATTGTTTTTTCTGTGCTTTAAATTTTGAAGATTTTATGTTAGTATCCACGTGCACTATTGGTAAGGAAGTTTGGGATAAACTACACACCATATACGAAGGCACTAGTGAAATCAATCAATCCAAGTTAAATATATTAATGCATGATTTTGAACTGTTTTCATGAAACCTTTTGAAACGATCTTAGACATGTATACTAGGTTCATTCAAATTGTAACATCATTGCAAGCCTTAGGAAAAGAATTTTCAAATTTTGAAAAAGTTAACAAAATTCTCCATTGTCTACTGGATAAGTTCAATGCTAAAGTAGTTGCTATTTGTGAATCAAAAGATTTGAATGAATATTCTATTGATAATTTGATTGGCTCACTCATTGCCTACGAGCAAAGTTTGGGTCAAAGACTTTTGGATGCAGGTGAAACGATTATTCTAAAAGCTGAAGATACAGAAAGAGATAGCTTAGTTGGTGACGAATGCAATGACTTGTGAAGCAAATCACAAAGCTCACCAAAGTATAAGTAAAAGTGGAAAAAAGGTAAAAATGGTAAAGATGTTCATATTCTTTCTGACATTATGTGCTTTCGATGTAGGAAGTCTGAACATACGAAAAATCAGTGCCATAATTTAAAAATTCTTCATATGAAAGAAAAGGGCAAGACGAAGCAAAATTTAAACTGAGGAAATAATGAAAGACAAAAAATCTAATGGGCTGATCTGATTTTTGAAGCATCAGACCAGGAAAGAGATAATGGTTAAAAGCATTTCGTATTTTTGTGTTGTGTTTTTATGTTTTTATTTTTTATTTTTGTGTTTTAATTTTGTTTATCCTTTGAAATTTTTTTTTTTCGTGAAAGTTTTTCTCTGATCAACACACACATTCACTTTTCTAAAAATGAAAAATCTACTTCCTGTTTTTTCTTGAAATCTTTGGTAAGTTGTGTTTGACTTCTCTAAAACAGTCAAAGGAAGGAAACTCATATTTTTGATTCTCAATCTCTATTACCTAAAAGAGGTTATCCTACTTTTGATTTAAAATCTTTTTTATCTTTTAAATTGGTTTTTGAAACTAAATTTTTTATCTCCTTACATTTTATTTATCGCATAGGGATCTTTTGCAAGTTGTTGAATCTAACTCATAATTTTCTTAATCAAGAATTCGCTTTATCAATAGGATGAGTTTACTTTTATTTTTTAAGACTTCAGAAAGGTAGCATATTAAAAAAATGACTAATGATACCAAAAATAAAAGATGCGCAATGATGCCAAATTGAAAAATAGACACAAAAGTGTATCAAAAATCAAAAGATGCGCAGTGCTCCAACCAATTGTCAAGAGGCATAAAATGAGCCCACAAAGTTTAATACTTACCATTCTTGTACTTCTTAAAAGCTTAAGAGTTGATACTTTCGATACTTGAGTTTGAAAATCTTGATTCCTGATTCAACAATTCGTGCATTAATCTTCTATTTGATATATTTTATGGAAGGAGTTTTGAAAAATAATTGTTTCTTTCTCTAATTTATTCTTTGAATTATGTATTGAATTAAAAAGTTTTTTAACCTTTTAAAAGAACTTGAGTTTGGATGATCAAATTCTGGATTTTTAACCTTTTATGGGCTATGCGTTGTTAATCTAATTCTACTAAGTTTTTTGACTAAAACTAAGAGGTTACCTTCTCATTTTAAAAATATTTGTTTTTTTTTTCACTAGATCAGAGAACGTTTTTATCTTCTGTTTGTTTTAGTTTTTGTTTGTGCCTCCTCTCTTTTTGATAAAGTCAAAGGGGAAGAACGTACTATTGAATTTGTATCCTTTTTTTCTTTTCAAAAAATCTAAAACAACAAAAATATTTTTATCTTCCCTATTTTTTAAAAAAGGTTTATCCTAGTTAGGGAGAGATTAGGAGAAAATAATACTTTTTGAAAATTCAAATTGAAATGTTTGCCATCATCAAAAAGGGGGAGATTGTTGCAGATCTATGGTTTATGATTTTGATAATAACAAACTTTCTTATTTCTCTACGACTGCCTTACGTACTGGCATTTCAGGTCCACACGATCAGACTGCAATTTGGAACCAACTCAAGATTGGGTAGACTAGGTCTGAGTCAGTTTGTACCCTTTTTCCTTTCTTGAGTCTGTTGTATTTATTGTGGCTCCTGATGCTTTGTAACGTATAAGAGTTTCTGACTGTTCCCTAGAGTTTACTATTTTTTGTAACATCGTCCTAGATGATATTTATATCGGCCGAGACAACATGTTTAAAAGCAGAAACCCTAATTAGGACATCCTCATCAAAGCAGCCGTCATTATGCAAAATGCATCGTCCTGGACGATTTTGTATCGGCCAGAACGATAGGCTCAATTCAGAAAGAATATGCTGCCAGATATACTTAGGAAATACTTATTTTTGGACATTGGCCTGGTGGATCGGCCTGGACTATAAAATATCGGTCAGGACGATCCAGGACAATTTTTCCAAAATTTCTCTGGCAATTTTGGAAAGCAATTAATGGTGATTTCGTCCGGGCTGATTAGACATCGGCCAGCTTCATTTCAGGATGATTTTCATCATATTTGAACTAATCGGCCAGGACGATATGTCTATCATCCTAGACGATAAAGTCGGCAACTTGCATTAATGAGCTCGTTTTTAGCTTTTCTATTTAAGCTATGACATGACACTTTGTAAGTGTTTTTGGCAGCCATTGTAGCTTTGTTCTTGTGGGGGAAACTTGAAGAGAAAGCTTGAAAGTGAGTGAGGAACGGGTGAAGTTTCAAAAACTTATTCATGTATTTAAATATTCATACAATAATATGATGTAATTTAGATAAAATTAATTATACATTAGTAAATTTATATGAAACAAGTTTAATTCAAAATGAATGCGTAATAAATTCTTATCACATATGCTTATAATATTTAATTTTCCTAATTAATTATATTTTCATAATTGATAATAATGAAGCTTATAAATTTTATTTAATAAAGAAATCTTATAGATTTCTAAGTCATTATTATTATCATTAATTAATAATATATAAATCATTTTAATAGATATTTAAATTATGAGCAAATCGAACCAAGCAGGTAAATATTAATGGATCTCTAACATACTCCTACGTTATTATAAAAATCTTCAAGCTTTCCATCTGGTCCATCTTGAGTTCTTTCAGCTCAAATTTTAATTGAACTTGAGTTGTGTAATATAAATTTTACATGATAATTATCATACACTTCCATCAAATCATTACACCTGAAATATTTAACACACAAATTAGAACATCCAAGCATATATTTCTTATCATTAAAATATCTAGAATAGATCATGAGGTAGATAATATCAACAGAGCTTACTTACTTTTATGAGGAAATTAGGGATTAGTAGTTTAATTAGAATGGCAATTTTTTTATTTACTTGAGAACAAGCAAGAGTTTAATATGGGAAAATTTTGATAAATGTAAATAATATATTATTTTATGTATTATATTTTCAGTGAAAATATATTATTTTAGTTGTGTTGTACAAAAAAAATACAAAATTCTATATATCATCTAACGTAGTGGCGTTGAACAAATCAATATTGTTGTGTTATCAATGGCACTACTAGAGTGCTACAACATTGATATGGTGGCACCAACTTCTATGTTGGATAGTGCCACGGTGATTAGATGACCAGCTTTGCAGTGTCATGCTCACTGTCTTCAAGCGTCGTAGTGTTACAATATATTATGCCTAAGCATAAAAATTGCCACTCCGTCACCACAACATAAAAGTCAATAGCTTCATGGTGTAATAGTTATAACTTCCAAAGGACATGATCTGTCAGTAAAATAATGCGACTGTTTATTAAGTAATTGATCCACGTCAGCAAGCACCACAACCGAGCTAAAACAACAGCATAGTGGCTTTAGTTCATTTTTGGGGGCAACAATGCTAATCTTTCATGCGTCGTAGTGCTAGTTGCCTACTTTGTGTTTTCCTATAAATAGTCATTGTGTTATATTTGTAAGGGAGTTCAATCACTTTTATGATTTCAATATTTTTTAGAGTACTTCTTTAAATCTCTTTTAAAGTCAAATTTAAGAGAGACTAGGGAAGTACTAGATAAAATCATTAGAGTGTTTAGTTAGTGTTTATTTAAGCTACTATGTACATTAAGGAAGGAG